CTGATGCCCCCGTATGGTAACTTATAGCAAAGGTTAAACTTTCTCAAATGCAAATCAATATGTTGGTACCCAAAGTAAAGTCTTGTCTCGAGGAATAAACCTGTGAAATATGGAAGCCCTAGCAGCAACCATTGAATAGATATGGAAAAGGTTATAGTTTTTCAAAAGTTTGTCAAACATCAAGGTCAAATGATCAAAATTAATGGTGCCCAAGGAAAGGCCTTCTCCCAAGAAATTCACAGGTGACATATGAAAGCCCTAGCAGCAATTGTTCAAAAGTTATGGCCAAGGTTAAAGTTTTCCAAAAGTAGGTCAACCTCCAAGGTCAAAGTCAAACGGTCAAAGTTGTTGGTATCCAAAGAAATGTCTTGTCAGAAGGATTACACATGTGGCATATGAGAGCCCTAGCACCAATTGTTCAAAAGTTATGGCCAAGGTCAAAGTTTGATAAAATTTTTGCAAAACTAGGTCAAACTCCAAGGTCAAATATGGTGATACCTAAAGAAAGGGTTTCACGAGGAATATACATGAAAGCCATAGTTCCAACCAATCAAAAGATATAGGCAAGGTTAAAGTTTTGGCGGACAAACTGACAAACAGACAAACAGACAGACGGACGGACAGGGCAAAAACTATATAGCATAAAAAATGTCAATTAAAGTAACAATGAATACGAGAGAAAATTTTATGCAAAATAAAGAACTACAAAATAACGGCCCTTACTCATTACAAATCATGATCATATTTTAGCTTATAGGTTTTTAGATCATACTAAGAAATTGAAGGGCAGGAATGGTGAATTTGATAATTTTAACATTACATGTAAGAATAATTAGGGAATAACTGTCTTCTCATTTGTGTTATTTGCGACTGTTTATGCTAATTTAACGGTCGCAAACTGAGTTTTACCAAAATGCGTTTTACAAAACAATGGCATTAGAATACAGAATTGAATATTATTTATAGAATTAAATAGGGAAGCAAAGAAGATAAAATAAAGTAATCCAAAAAGTTTTTTTATTGAAAATAATTTTGATAATTTGAATAATTTATTACTTTATTTTAAACATCTTAAATTTAAGATCCATCCTCAAAGCTGCTGCTATTGAAGGGGCATACACACACTTCCGTTGCAGTCTTGTTTATATATATTTTTTCAAAACTGAATTAATTTTAAAATGCAGTTCGGTTTAAATGATTTAATTACCCCTTAATATTGAATGACAACGGAATTCTTTATAACCTTACACCAAACACCTGTTTGTAAACATGGACTCTTGCTCTGTTATTGTTTATGTTTCGTTTTACTGGGTGTGTTTGATTTGCTACCAATGCAAATATCACTGAATACAAATTGACAGCACTAGTGCATGCGCGGATTTAGAGGGGGTCGGGGGGGGGGACTTTGGACCCCCTCCTAGAAAACGTGGACCCCACCATCACCACCCCGAAATATGTGTTTTTCACCTTAAGGAAATGGATTTTACGGGGTTTTTTTTTTTTTGCTTGTCAAGGAATTTTTGAGTTGGATTTTTTTTTACTGTGATGGAATCCCCCCCCCCAACCCCCGCCCCACAATCCCCCCAAAAAATTTCTAGATCTGCGCCTGTAGTGTATAGGTTTTCTTTTCTTATGTTTCTATTTTTCCTTTCTATATGTCTCGATTTACATGAAACATCTTTTTCCATACAGCAAAATTTTTCAAGGATATATATATTTGTTAAGTGGAAAGACAATCAAACACGCCTGAAATTTATAGCTTTGATAATTTTGTGATTAAGAATTGAAGTTCCAAACAGGTTTTTTTTTAAATATATCGGGCTGAAAACGTAAGTTAAAAATTTTCTATCGAAAATTTGGAAGGATGTGAACTTTTAGGTCTATGTCCCTTTATTGTGTTCCGCCACTCTTAAAGGAATATCGATGATTAATGTTGATTTTGCTTTTATTGAGTTCATTCAAAATTCTTCAGAGACTGGTTTAATTCGCATTGAGCAAGTGCAAGAAAAGCAAGTTATTTCGGGGAGGGGGGCCTCAACCGAGTAAAATATCCTTGAAAAGGAAAACAAGTACTAGTTTTCTTATTAAAAGAATAATATTCAGATGTCAAACTTGTGGCCGTAATGGGACAGAATGTAAAGAACAGTTAATGATAAAGTAAACGAATAAAATAAATGCTGGACTTAGTCAAAACACGAATGAACGAATAACCTTTACTCTAAAGCGAAAGGGTCCATTTCTGTTCTTAAAGTTATTGAAATTCTTGCGCATATTAAAAAAAAAGGTAAAATTATTCAAAATGTTACTTGGAAATGTTTGCCTTTCAAAGGTAATGATTTAAAAAGGCGCCTTACTGTATTCGACAGAAGTTGATCAAAAACTATAGTGTTCCAAGTGTCGTCTGCTTTATAGCAACATTAAAGATGTGAATAAATCTAAGAGTGGTCAGCTATTTATATGCTACTAGCATAATATACTGGTACCTTAAGCATTTGCATGCAAAGAAAGAAAAACATCCACGGATAGAAAAATTTCGATAGAATGGCAATTATCGTATAAAATGTGACAATTAAACAAAAATATGATTCCCCACCCAACCCACAAAGCTAAAATGAACAATGAAATGGAAATTATTAAAAATAATTATTAACCAAGAATTCCCCATATTTGTTACTAGAGAGAAATTTCAGTCTGTCTTTACTGTTATTGTCAGTCTACAACTTAATTTGAAGTGCGATCCATTGTGCCATACTGATCCCGATGTATCTCCAAATTCAGTTCTAAATTAATCATTCGAAGTATTTTGAAAAGGAGGTCAAAGGTCAAGTGGACAGTCACTCTGGAATTTTTTTTTAAATAATATGTATCCAATGACAAACAGTGTCTATGCTAAATATTTGAGACTTTTCTCCTAAATATAAAAAATAAGCGACTCTATGAACTACTTTGAAAAGTAGGCCAAAGGTCAAGTTAAAAGGTTACGAGGTAGGTAAAATTGATATTTTACAAAAGTCAGGTACCAAGTCCATACCTCTTACAGTTCTCAAGATATAAGGTGTGACAGAAGGACAGACGACGGACAAGACAGACAGACTCCAGGTAAAGTGATCCCTGAGTGTCGCTCTGCTCTGCGACACCAAAAGATGGTAAACCACCCCCCCCCCACCCCCCGGTCTGTTCCCCTCGATTTCCGACGACCCTGAATTTCAGAGATAGACTGAGACGAGTTCATTAACCGTACAAAATAAATTTTATTTTATAACCTTGAATCAAAAGACTACACCTGTGACGTACAAGGCCTTGGATTTGAAGTCGTCAGATAAGAAATACACATAAATCAAAGTACTGAAAAAATCACAAGTCCATGGATTTGATACATGTCTGTCAAAGTCGTCAGGTAACAGATCCAGATAAATGAATATACTGAAATAATTACATGCCGTAGATTTGATCCTTAAATGTTTATACATGTCTGTCAAAGACGTAAAGGAGCAAATTTACATTAATCAAAGAACTGGTATTATCATATTGGACAGCGCTGACAACAGCTGTCAGTGTACAAGAACGGAAATGTTTCATTCAAAGAGAGATAACTCCAATAATGAATTGCCCTGATTTGTTTCATGTCAATTTTTTTTTTTTTACAAACTGGTAGAGCAAAACTAGTGAAGCCTTCAAAGTAAAAATACAATGCAATTAATACGTTTTCCATAGAAACCCTTGACTACAAATTCAATTTTGTTCAATTTCATGTAAAAAATAGTGTTCCTTTTAAATGAGATAGCTTGTTTTATCTTTGAAGTAATACGTTAAATTGTCCTTACTTATTTAACAGTATTTGTCTGAAACACATGAAAGAATAAGAGTACATATGTATAGACTTCTGTAGCCAAAACACAAGAAAAACCATGGAAGAAAGTTTATCGTGTGCCTACACTGAACATTTTTGTTTACAATACCACTTTCTATATAGATACATGTATATCTTTGTTTTATATTAGGAATGAAATTTTATTATGGAAACTTACTATAGAAAGATTGGAGACTTGCGCATTGAATACGGCGAGGGGACTTCCTCTATGAGTACGGTATACTATACAACCCATTTTTTTTTTATAGATTCAAACATGTAAGCAGCTTCGAGGTCATCTTGGTGGATTGAAATATATATACATACAACTCTGTGCCACCTTCTGCTTTCTAGGTAATATTTCACTGTGTACATTTTGTAATATTTTCGTATTGTTCTCCATACAAATCAGTCTTAAATATTTTGGCGTTTATTTGAATGGTGGGTTCCTCGCTCATGAAGCGTAGCAGTGTTACACAAGATTGTGTTAACATGTTGAAAAATTCTTGCAAAGGCCCAATCTTTATCTGGTAATGAACAGCGAAGATTTAGAATTAAATAAGTTTACATGCAGATAAAGCTCGATAATGATTTCATAATACGGTGAGGCTAAAATTATTCAGATTTAAACATAAACAGTGAATAATATTTTTCAACTTGGAGTTACAAAGAATTTGCATCACATGCTAGTGGATATTTTTCTTTTTGAATTCTAGATTTATTTACATTTTATCTAATTCAATTCACCATAAACTGCAATTTCATTCAAAATATATCAATTACTTTTCATGTCTATTTTTTCTTTTGGAATACGCAAATAAGAGTTATGATATTTAATTGGTAGATATGATGACATTGTTAAATTTTACAACAGAGGTATCAAGCAAACTAGGTATATGAAGAAAGCAATATCTTTGAATGCGATATAAAAATCACTACATGGCCACATATAGGTCAAACGGTCTGTAAAAATCAGCGCGTGGTCAGACTTGATGTGTTTTATATGTTTCCACGACACACCGGGATAATTTGTGTCTAATAGAGTATAATTTCTGACCAAGAGGGTAAAAAAAATATTTTCAGACAAGGCCAAATGTTCGCTCTATCATGTAATACTGCTTAAGGAATACGTGTTAACACTAGGTGTAAAATGTTACAGCCACAATGGGCACCCCTGGTGTACGCCATAGTCTGTATCTTCGCTGTCTGTGCTAACGGAGCTCTCTCCAAGGTTTGTATGAAACACTTCTACATTAACCTCTCCGTGAAATTGTGAATCATATAAAACTGCCTGATATAAGGCACTTCTCCATTAATATCTCTGTAAAATTGTGAATCATATAGAACTACCTGAATAATTACCATTCCGTGTCAGTTACATGAACACGACTATGTTGTAACAAATAATGTAACAGTCACTTTGGTGTTTATTGCATTCACACTTTCCTGTTGTTGTTAATGACGAATAAACGAACGTTTGTTTTAAGGTTATGGCATTTATTTCCTCCGTGTGAATGTTAGTTGTACGATAGAAGCGGGTCGTCCTTAACCGTCACTCATGAAGTAGGGGAAATTAACTAAATTAATTGTACAGATAAAATGTTAAATACAGCATTTTTTTTTTTTTTTTTTTTTTTTTTTTTTTTTTTTACATTTTCTGTTTGAGAGAAATGAAAATCTAGAGAAAGGAAAAGGGGTAAGCGGTCTTCATATGCAATCAATATAATTCATAAATTTGGATTTATTTCAAAAGCAAAGCAAAAATTGTTTTTTTTTTAATTTGTAATAATGTAAAAATATAGAATTATTACCTGTATTTTGCCCCAAACCATATTTTTCTTTATTTAGAAATATGATTTTTAAATAATTTTTTGGAAAGTTTGCGGATTGTTTAGAATCTTTTTTTACTGTAAACCCAAATTTTTGAATTACTAAAAATTAAATTATCTCCCTTTATAAAACTGTTCCATTTCAAATTTTAATGCTAAATGTTTCTGCCTGTAAATTGATATTGCTAAATGTTTCTGCCTGTAAATTGATGTTGCTAAATCAGGTCGCAGAGAAATCACGGCAATTTCTCATTATATGTTACAAAATTGAAAATGCAATGATGGACTGTTTACTTATTGTAGGAATGTAGGAGTTTGTATATTCAATGAGATTTATGGAAATAAATAGCAAAATTATCTTAAATCAGCAGTGATTACTTTACTCTTAGTACAATTGCTTATTGGTGAAATATTAAGATTTTTGGGAAATCGGGAAAGGTAAAACGACAACCAGCCGTACGATCTGCTATATTTTTTTTTTATTAATAATAACCCTAGAGACTATATTTAATCATCGTGTTTTCAGATGACACTTTATTCTATTTCACATTCTATTTTACTTTTTTACTGGCATGTGTAGTCTTACTTCAGACAACAAGTCTACTGCGTTTTTGCAAAGTACTTTTCGGACTATTTAGAGGTACTACCAAAGCTACATGTATATGCACAATCAATGAATATCTGTAAATCTGGAGTAAGTGGATTTCAAAAAATGAAAATGTTCCCTGATCGAATAATTCATAACAATGTGGATTAAAAATTAAATACACTCAGTTCATTTCTTGCCTGTTGTAATTAAACACGGCACACCCGAGGAAGTTTCATTCCTTGAATAAGCAAAACAATGGTTACTATGTATGTCTATAGGAGGAAAATAGTTGCAAAATTGCAAAAAAAGAATAAATAAATAAATAAATAAATAAATAAATAAATAAATAAATAAATAAATAAATAAATATACGAAACTCGTGTAATTGTAATATTTTTCTGCAATTGTTGCTACCGTTATTCTCTTCTTACAAAGAAAGACATTTTTTGTTGGGGTCCGTGTTTTACGCCCTGTTTACTGATTTGTATTGTTTGTATATTTTTTGACATCGATCATTGTTTATCTTGTTTTTTTTTTTAAATGATTGATAAAAAGAGGATGAAAGTACGTAAATTATTGTCTTATCGATTTGTTTGTTATATTGATGGAAGAACTGCCATTTGACGGTCTTAAAATCTTTTCATACAAAAAGTTCTTTGAAAATAGGGTGTAACAAAATGTTCAAAATTTTAAAATCTCAAAACATTTAAAACATAAATAGCATCAAAACATATGATTTTCTAACCTTTATACAGCCATTAAAATTAAAGAGCAGGAGCCTTTTTCACAAACATTCTTACGACTACGATTAAAATTTGACAACTCTGTAATTTCTTTGTTTAATAAAGAAAATTAATATTTCAGATGAATAATTCACAATATACTGTAATGTCATAGAAATATAACATTTAATCTACTACAATTTAGGTACAAATAGAAGAATTGGAAGATTTTAATCTTAGTCGTACGAATTTTTTGTGAAAAAGGCTACAGGCTTTTTGGCATCATAGACAGTTGCTTCCTCAATTAAAATGGAAGTCGTAACTTTTCATATGAGACATTTATTTAAAGAAGGAATCTCTTGCTGTGGTCTTCATTCAAGTATATAAAAGACGTGTTATCAATTAACAATAGTAATATTCACTACGATGTCGACTCGGTATATCCCAATGAACTCGAAATAAAAGATACCACAGAGTCGGTTACATCTGTTTCATGTATGGACGTTTGACTGACCATAGACGATAAGGGCAACTAATAACTAAACTGTATGACAAACGAGATTTCTAAAGCTTTTACATCACCAACTTCCTTTATTTATGTAGTAATATCCCTCAATCACCTGCATATGGTGTTTACATCCCCCAACGGCATGCTCTTTTCAACCGGGGCAAGCTAATGACAAATAAATTGGTATTAGAAGGATTTTCGGCTGTTCGCAAATTCTATGGACGATATAATGACCTTATTTATAGATACAACATATCGTTCAATTATTTTGTTTAGTATGTTTCATACCCTATGTTAAGTTATTGTTTTATAATTTGACTATGTACAGAGTACTCCGTCTACCTGATAAATACATTGGGGTTACTGTGGGTGTACCCAATCGGCAGGGGATGCCTACTCCTCTTAGGCACCTGATCCCACCTCTGATGTTTTTGCTCTGTTCTTTTTGTTTACTGGACATTGATCGATTTGATTGACTGGATATTGATTGATTTATGAGATCGATCACTGTTCGTTATTCTTCACCTTTTACATATTAGAAGTAAATTAAGATAATTTTTTAGATGAATCTGTTTTCATAAGAAATGAAGAAAATATTTATTGGATATAAACATAAATTGATAAACATTGAATTAATGACCTATTGCATGACATGTTAAGTAGAGCTCTACTGTAAAGTGTCAACCTCTAAGAAAATATGTTTTTTTTTTCATTATAAGATTTTTTTCTTTAAAACATTCCTATTTATCTCTGTAAGAATTTTCCTTATCTCAAAATTAGGCAAAAACATGACATCGTGTAATCTTTTCTTAAAGGTGTAAGAAAAAAAATAATGGCTGCAAAAAGCTCAAAGGATGAAATTCTGCCATTCAGTTAACTGAAAGTCTACTAAAAGGTGACTGAATAAGAGGGTTCTGCCATTCAGTGACCTTTCCAGACCTTTCAGACACCATTCAGTTGAAATAATGGTGAAGGTTCATCCTGTGAAGTGTGAATTATCTTTATAATTGATTAAAATACTTAACGTTTATACTGATATTGTAAAATATTACGATCTGTGAACTAACTTTAAATGGCAAACACATTTTCTTTGGTTATCATAATAAGGCATGCATTATTTTATTCTTCCAGGGTAAAGGGGGCTATCCGAGTAGAGCAGTGGTTTTACAAGGCAAACATGATTCCAGTAGGGCAAGTGTATTATCAAGATATCCACATGGATCTGGATTTGGATCAATTCGAGGAAATTCGAGATCCGTATCTGGAAAGCTGAATTCCATAGACAGCAAGAGGATTCACAACAAACTGCAGAGTACTGTTGGAAAAGCACTGGACAGACGAAATAAAAACAATCTGATCAAGACAACTTTAAGACGGATGTCAAAAATCTCTGATTTCCAGACCATGCCAGGACTTCCGGTTGGGACGGTATCAGGGAAAAAACTTCCATTATCCAGACATCATAATTTGGGAGCAAACAAGAACATCCGACATTTGATGAAAACAGGTAGGAGGATTGCTTCAGGTGGTGGACTGTCGTTAAGGTCAAGGTCAAGAAAAAGTCGTCTTGGTAGAAACCATTTCCATCAGCGTCGTAGGGGATCAAAGATGATTTCTTCCAATCGAGCACATGGCGCAGGCGATGTTGGTCTTGCAATGAGAAGAATATCATCTCATGGAGCCATAGAAACAAATACTGGACATTTAGAAAGAGGACCTTCACATCTCGATGCTTTGCACCTTTCAGAACATGCAAATACTGGTCATCATTTGGAAACAGGGAGAGGGCGTCAAGGCACTTTGTCTCACGCAGACCTAAGATCTGCAGGTCATTTGGGAGCAGGTATACAAGGGCAACATTCTCTCAATCATCCAGAACTTTCGTCCAACAGTTTGGGTCACAAAGCACCAGACGCGCATTTGATTGCTTCGCTCCTAGATAAAGGAAGCCGGATAAACCCTGATGTCGCTTCTTTCTTGCCAAATTTCGTTGCTGACGAACCAAAGATTTTCCTAGACAAACAGTCCTCTGTCAAAAATGCATACCCACAGATAGTGGTTGGTCGTCCCGAGCCATTAATGGCTGCACCTGTCCTTCCGCTTTCTCTCGGGTCTGACGGCCATGTTTTGACGTCATCAAATGTTCAAACAAATGAAGTCCTTAAATCAGTTCTAAGCACATTAACAAGTTCAAAGTCTCTAACACAGCAAGCAATTGCAGTGCTACTGCAATCAATAAGGAACGCCGTGGACCAGCAGAAGAAATCTCCTGGAGTTGGATTTAGGGGGCCTAAGATCGAGCTGTCACCGATTATTCACGCAGGCGCAAACGCGGTGACGTCAGAAAATATAATTAGGATAAAAGAGCCAGAGAGTGGATCAATCATAGTGCTGAAGACCGGGGGCCAGTTAGAAATTAGTTCAGGAGTACCTGGTAAGCCGACCTTTAAGGTATACGGCATCAAGCCCTCTTCCATAGGAAAAGTATTCAGAGATGACACGGACAATGATGACGAAAAGAAAAGAAAGAAGAAACTCGGAAATTAGGGCAAATGAACAGTGCAATTCTTGATCAGCAAGAAGCAAGTCGGAGTATTGCCCACCGTGGTGAACCATGACAAAGGCAATACTATTGCTTACTTTTCAGTGCTTTGTAACAATTCATGTTCTCTGTTTTAGTTCAGAAAAGAGTTTATGTTTACATACATGTAAATGAAATAAAATGTGAATAACTGTAAACCAACTAATATTCGCATCTACTTTTATTCGCGATTCGTCAGTTTGAAATCAATCTGCGACGATTAATTTTCGCGACTGAGGAAACATTCCCTTCAAATACAAAGGATAATAAAGGGTTCGCGGTGATTAATATTCGCGAGTTAAAGGAGGTCGCGAAACTCGCGAATATTTCTCGAACGCGAATAAAAGTTCGTTTGCAGTACATCAGAATTTCTTTTGTTTCATCAGAAAGAATATGTCAATTTGGATATTCACCATACTTAAATCTTTGGCAGTTCATATACAACGTAGATTCAATTTTGGGAGAGACCATAGTATATAAGAACTAGGTTGATCTTGAATATACACCCACTACCATTAGATAAGTCACACTATCAACTATATATACAAAATACTGAGTCATCAAGACAGAAAAAAATAGTGTTGATATAAATATACATGTTTTTGATTTTTTTGATTGCTTTAAGCTTTTACCCTGTGACACATTGACCGTGTGGCATTATGTCATTAGAGAAATGCCTAGTCATGTATAATAATCGGAGTACAATACTCACACTCATTGTTGTTGCCTGCAGCATATCTCACGCGTTGCCCCCCGATGTGACCATTACGCCACGGACTACATTGTTTGCAATGCATACTTTCAGCATTTTGCAATCTTTTTCAGGAAATATGGAGTACTAAAAAGATTTCAACATTGCATTAACCTTGACATTCAAACCTTTATTTAGTTAGCAGTGTATAAACCTGTCTTTTTCCTATTTGCGTAAGAATTTTGATCACGTATAAAGCAGTACTGCGGATGCCCATTTAGGACCTGTCAAAAATATTTTTGAATTCGATATAACAAATGATCAATTAAATTCGTTATAACAATTTCTTTGAATTCGTTATAATGAATTAAATCTGTTATAACAATTTTTTTGAATTCGTTATGACGAATTCAAAAATTTGTTATAACAAATTAAATTCGTTATAACGAATTCTTAAACTTGTTATAACGAATTTAATTCGTTTAAACGAATTTAATTCGTTTAAACGAATTCGAAAAATCGTTATAACGAATTCATATATATTTTTTTACAGGCCCTGATTGTTGAATTTGATAAAACGAATTGAATTCGTTATAACAAATTTAAGAATTTATTTAACAAATTTAATTTGTTAGAACAAATTTCTGAATGCGTTAGGACGAATTCAACAAATTTGTTATAACAGATTAAATTCGTTATAACGAATTCAAAGAAATTGTTATAACGAATTAAATTAGTTATAACGAATTTGACAATTCCTTATATCGAATTCAAAAATATTTTTGATAGGTCCTAAATGGGCTTCCGTACAGTACAGCTTCTGTACCTTTCAATTTCTTAGAGGAAGGGGGGGGGATAAATCTTATCAGAAGAAAGTTACTACAATAGTATTTAAGAAATCATTTTTTGTAAAGGACAACAATACTTTAATTCTGCTTTAATCAGAACTTCTAAATAGTTTTATCCGACTCGAAGATGAAAATTTGAAGTTTAAAACAAATATCTTTTTCTGTGATTGAAATAAAATTTTTAAATAAAAATTACATAAAAATTTCATTTTATATTTTATGATAATTGTACCTGCAAATTAAACGGAAACACATTGTTCTCCGTGCTTAGTTAGGGATGTTATTTGTAAAATAGACTCAGGCCCGTGGCTACGATTTTTAAAGTAGGGGCAAACCTCAAAAAAAAAAAAAATCTGACAATGTTAATAAGATTAAGATCCGACACGCGCCAGACTGCAGGAAAATACAGCATTAAAGTCATGATTAAGAAGTGTAATGTACAGGATATTGTTAATATAACATAATTTTCTCTCTTTACTTTTCTCCATATCTGCCTAATATCGCTTCCACTCTTTTTTTCTGAATCTGTAAAACTGCTTGTGTTCGCTGGTTTACCCCTCGTCATCTTTGTTCGCCATTATTATAGATTGTCTAAATATAGTGTCTCGCGATCAAATTAAGGCCGAGTTATTCAAATCTCTATTATTTTTGTGGAGTCAGTAAATAAATCGGTCACTGTTTTAAACTTTTGATATCTTTGCAACCCGATTGATTTGAATTGTGTAATTTACAGAAAAGACCTATCTTTGTATAAAGTAAAATCTATCTCCAACAGTAAGTAAAATCTATCTCCAACACTTACCTTTAATCTTTCTGCTATACCTATTAGAAAATTAGTTCCCAAGAGAATTGGAACTTGTCTGTTATACCTACTATCAGGTGTCACCAGAAGGATACATGGATGCTCTTCCTTCTGCCCTGGTATCTGGATACTAGTCTCTATGTACCCTAAATAAGGTAATTGCTTACCATCTGCGCACTCAATGTACAGGCGGGTATCAATCCTCAAAAGTGGAGTCTGAAAATTCTCCTTAAAATATGACTTACTTACCGTTGAGATCGTTGACCAAGTATCTAAAAGTGCTGGAGATCTTTTGCCTTCAATAAACATACTAACCTCGGAAGGTTCTCCAAAAAGACCTGGGGGTATTTTGACTTGACTTACTTTGGGAACATTAATGTCCTGCAAGCCTAGTCGTTCCCTTTGCAAAGGCTTCTTGGTGTTTAAATCTTTACCTTTTCTGCTGTGGTCCATTCTTACTCTGCATCCAATCTGTAGATGTCCGAGTTGTCCACATTTAAAACATCTAGGTCCATCCTGGGAAGTATCCTGATTGCTTCTGTAATTCACAGTTTTCCTTTGTCTTCTAAATTGATGTCTAAACTGAGTCTGTTGCCATGTTGATGATGGATTCGGCTGTCGTTGCCATGACGATTGGTACGATCGTTGCCAAGGTGAGAATTGTTGTCGGTGTTGTGGTTGTTGCCATGGTGAAACATGTTTTTTCTCGACTGAATCAAGCCTATTCTGTATCTGTTGAATCATTCCTTTTATTTCCTGTAAATCCTCTGATGGAGCACTTATAGACTTAGAAATATTTGGCTTTGTGTCCTTCTTAACACTGTCCTGATTATTTTGGTCACATTCAATTTGTCGCAGTGCCACACGAAGTCCATCAAAGTCTTTAATAGTGTCGTATTTGTGTCCGGAAATGTTTTTCAGTGATAGTTTTAACCCGGCCCACAACATTGCATGCAGCATTGGATCAACTTCTCTGCGTAGAATAATTCCTCGGTCAACTGCTTTACCAATAATGCCCTCCAATCTGCAGCTCCAATCCGTAACACTTTCATCTGGTTTTTGTCTCGATCCATAGAATTCAGCCATCAATTCTTCCTTTTTGTCTACACTACCATATATACTGTCCAGTTTTTGAATAATACCATGCACAGTAGCGTTAAGATCTAGACGCCTGGCTACAAGTCCAGCTTCTCCACGTAAAGATCTTCTCACTGCATTGAGAACCGCATCACTGTCATAATTTTGCCGCAAGAGACACTGAACTTCATGCCGCCACAATTCATAAGTTGTATCACCTGATTTAGGTACTGTTCCTGAAAACCAAGTTACTTTAGGTGGATGATTCATTGTCATTTTTGTTACTTGTGTAGAAATTTTACCTGTTGAAGAACTTGAAGCTGATGCTCCTAAATTCTCATCTGACTCTCCTTGTGACTTTAAACAGTCTTTCATCCACTTCTTCAAATCTGCTGGCAACTTTCCTTTCGGAACAACTCCCAACTTTGCAAACTCTCCATGGTCGAATACATTTCCTCTGTTGTAGGTGCAGGAGTCTTCAGTTTGGCTCCAATTCCTAGCTCTGTTTTTGGAGGATTGAGTAGTGGACTAGTAGGTTCCTTAACTTGATCAGTTTCACCATCCTTGCCAGCCATGATGGGTACAAGTAACCAAAAGTACAACAAAAGGATGAGAGATACAAAATACAATACGAAATGCATGCAAAGTTAATAAATCTTCCAAAATTTTCAAAATAATTGAACAATGATTTTACATATCGTCAATGAAAATAAATAATGTACAGTTTAATTGAAGTCAAAAGATGTTCTTAAAATAATTATATTTATTCAACTTACTTTTGAAATGGCTACTTCTTCAGGCTTCGGGATTCGTCAACTAAATAAATACTCACTGGAAAACTCGCGAGATGATTTAAAATTAATTAATCTTAAATTAATTTGGAAATAAATGTAGGTATTTTGTAACTTACTATATGTATAAAATTATGTACACTAGTTGACAAGGTCGAAAAGGTCAAAAGTCGACTGGAAATTGACTTTAAATGACTAACTGATACACTCTGTCCACTGACAAACTAAATCTTACTGGACACCTGCAGCACTACTATACAAGCTCTATGCAAGCAGTCAACAAGCAAGAAAACTTCCTGTAATCAGTACCAATTATCTACAATAACAAATTTTCTGACAACTAAATACTTCGACAACAAAAGTTCTAAATTATACTACAGAGATGTTAGCTTTTACAGGTGAATGTGCAAGGACAAGGTAGCATGCAAAGGAAATAAAGCAAGTATCTACACCGCATGCATGATGCACTCAACTCTGGTACACCTGAACACACACCAAAAGTTTTTAATGTTATTGTTTATGACTCCTAGCTTTTGATTGTTTTAAATTAAAACAGGATATTTATAACCCAGCTGTAAATTGTTCAAATATAAATACTGAACTGTCAAATGAAACAAAGAATACTGTATAATGATATCAAAATAAATACAAAAGAATTGGCCTGAAAAAAAAAATAATAACACGTGTTTGTAAAGAAAAAATAAAATAAACAAACACACGTGCTTCCGGTTAACCTATTGACCTTGATAGATCCTGA